GAGTGCTTTGTTTTGAAATCACTTCCGCGAGTTTCGAAGTTATGAATGAACCCGCCCCGCTCGACCTTCTGAGCCAATCACAGCGCGATAATGACCGTTTCAACCATGGTTGCGTTCGGATAATCCAAAAATCAGCTCCTAAATTCTAACCCTATCGTCTATCCCTTGACCTCTGAGTGAAAGGTCTCGGGGTTAAGGGATAGTGGATAGGAGAATCCAAAAGGACTTAGGAGAAGAGACTGCGGTACTTTAGGGAATCCGAATGCACTTTCACTATCTGACGTGTTTATGATGCGCCAGCTGACGTCATTGTGTGCGTCTGCTGCTGTGGGGAAACTAGGGAAACTACAGTTTTCTATACAGCGGACTACAACATGGATGTTTAATAAGAAGGAGAGACTCATCTAGAGACTCTGCANCCCCCCCGTAGTTATTCCCAGATCCGGATTATTTGAATTTTGAGTTGGAAATTAAATTATTTTTGCTTCTATACTCACGTCTCCTCCCTTCCGTGTTTGTATTGAGGGTTCAGCCTGTAAGCGCTCTTTGAGCATAACACTTATACCAAAAAGGTTAGATCAGACGTCAATGGAAAACCAGTTTTTGGGATACAACTTCTGGGCAACTTGAACCAAATTGTATAAGAATGCATCTAATAGGTGATCCAATAATGTATCTTAAAACTGCAAATATCAACCTCATGGTGGCGTTAGATTAAAGTCAAAGCTTCACTAAAGTTATTGAGATGTATCCTCTGGGGAACATGAATGGCTTAACCAGATTTTATGAGAATGCATCCAATTATTGATCGAAGAATCTCAATTTAAAACTTCAAATATCGACCTCAGGGTGGCGTTAGAGGTAAAGACAGATGACGACAAACGTATTGGGGATTATCTCTTGCGATCATGAATATCTCAACATAATGTCATTGCAATGCATGTTGTCCTCCATAGTGGACGGACATTTGCCTTCCCCAGCGTCCTTTGCATTGCTTAAGAAACCATGTATATTCATGGCGACCGTCTCTGTCTTTGTTCAGTATGTAGATCTCGACAAACAAACATTAATCTTGTTGTTGAAAGTTGTCGCAGTAAAGACACAGATTAACGACATGCATATGAAGAGTCCAGCCTCTCTTTTCTCTGCACAGACACTAACGTATGGCAGAAGATGGTCCATGTTTCACCTGATCAGCGTCCTGTATAGTGTTTGCCACGCTCCAGCGACTCAGCAGTTACTCAGAGTGTCTGCAGATAAATGATTGCTCGGATGGATGACTGTGCAGCTGGGCCTCAGGAAGCATGTTCTGCTGCAGGCGTTCTGTTCATCTGACGGTTCATGGATTCAAGGATTCAATGCTTTTGTTGTCATTCGTACATACTGTAGCTACAGTGTGGATGCAACTCTGAGGTCACAGGCCCCTCCAACAGTGCAACACAATAAAACAGAGGTGGCAATTGTGGTGGAAATCCCACACTTAATCACCTTCTGGTGAGAAAAGAACAAATTTACAAGCTTAAACCAAAGTTGTGTTATTTAAAGTGGACCTATCATGCTATATTTGAATAACATAGTGTAGGACCATACCTATATAAGGCATATTTATACTTTTTATTTTTCAAAATACCAAACAGATCATGCATTTTAGCCATTCCTCATTTCGCTCAATGTAACACGTCTTTGCATTGGGCTTGATTCTGTAGAGACTCTGCACCGTGCTCTGATGCTGTTGCTTTATGCTTTATGAACAACAGAGAAACATATTCTTCATGACCAAAGTTGGAATTGAAATAAAAAATGAAAGTGAAACTTCTGCTCGTCACCCTCTCCCTCCGGTCCACATTAATACAAATGATCCCAATACGT